TGGCCGGCCGCTCGGCCAGCTTCGGCTTTCAGCACGGCTCAGCCGAGCCGATGCACATGCGTTCGGCTCAGCTGAGCCGCTCGGCCATGATCGGGAGCTGTACGGGCTATTGTGAATAGCCCGTACAGCAGGCTCTCGGTTCGAATTAACCGAAGGATTCCCGTAACCGAAGCTAGCCGAAGGATCTGCCAAAGCTACGGCTAGATCCTTCGGCAGCTTCGTGAATAGACCCATAGTGTTTATTACAAAATGGCACTCTAAAGCTGGCCATACACATTGGGGTGAATTTTTCAAAACTGGAGCAGACAAAATCTGCAGCAGATTTGCACTGCAGCCAATCAGCTTCTCTGTCTCATTTTCAAATTTTACCTGAGCAAACTGAAGAGAGATGCCGATTGGTTGCCATTGGTAACTGCTCCAGATTCTCTCTGCTCCAGTTTTGATAAATCCCCCCCATTGAGTTTTTTTGTCATTCAGCTTGCATGCTGGATAAGGAGAAACTGCTCAATTTCCCCACCAATGCTAAACAGCGTAGATAGGGAAACCTCGCCTGCCGGCTCTTGTATTCAAGCGTGCGTGGGAGTGTTGCACCTTGAATACCAGAATGGTGACTGCAGCTGACTTGCTGCAGTCATTGTTTGGGCAACAATTTTTTGCCCAACTCCGTTGATTTTTTTAATCAAAGTTTATTGAGCTGGGTGGTGCTGACGGGGCCTCCCATGGCTCAAATTTCATTCAATTTACAGGAATTGGCCAAAATCTGAGTCCTCTTAAGTAAAATGTGGCCATCTTAAGTACCTCAATAGCGCTACCTCTGTATTATAAAGACAAGACTATCCTCCAAAATGATTTCAGATGATAAAAGCTCCCACCATAGATATTATATATGTGGAAGATTAACAAATGTTTCATCACTTCATGGAAAGTGCATATGTTCTAAACATGCAAGATTGTTTCCAATGAAATGCTTATAACTTGGAATATACATTTTGTGGTCAGTTAATACCCATGTTCATCCAATTATCAGATGTCCCAGATTACCTGTTTGGATAGGAGCTGTTGGCACAAAGTATACAGACTGATGAATTTTCTTGACAACATTCGCGCATCAACAAAGCCTTCTGCCACCAACATTATTTCACATATCAGTTCAAAATCTGGAATCACCATTGCACATGGCCTACAAAAAAGCAACCAAAGGTCAGACAAGTACTAGGTACACCCTGTAGAGTGCAACTTTAAGTCCATTTAGGGACTTTGTATATCTTATATAATAGATTCTTCCTATGGAGTCCTCCAACAAGAAGAGAAGGGAAAACATTTATTGGCCATAGCCATGTAGGCAGACCTGAAAACTCAGGTGATCAGACAAGATCTCTGACTTGTCCAGTTGATTGTATACCGTGCAGAAGGGTCAGCTGGGCTGTCTGTATGTACAATGGACATGAGATGGTTTTTTAACACCCAGATGTTGCACTGATTACATTGCACGTACCGGAAGAGGGCCTTGACGTTTTCCGGAAGCTCAGCTCTCCCAGCATATCCTGGGTTTAGAGTGATGAAAATGCCAACTGTGCTTTTAAGCTCAACTGTTTCTCCAATAAAATGAAATCTAAGAAACATAAATAAGAAAAAAAGGTTTTAGACTTTCCAAACTTAAGGTGCCCATACACTGCACGATTATCGTACGATAATCGTATGCGATCGGTTTTTCGTACGATAATCGAGCAGTGTGAACGGAGACGTGCGACCGTTTCTACTGTACGGTCGCACGTCTTCTGTCGAACCAGCATGTTCGAAAACCAGCCGGGAATCGTACGATTCTCGGCTGGTTAGAACGGTGCTCGGAAGACAAATGCTGAACGGGCCGGTGTGCGCACGCGCACACTGCCCGTTCAGCATTGCGGTCATCGGAAGCCCGCCCCTCAGGGGGGCGGGCTTGCGATGATCGAGAGTGCGATCTGCCTGTCCAAGATAGGCAGATCGTACGTTTTTTTAATCCCTTTACAACCATCGAAAGACTAAGGTCTTGCGATGGTTGTACAGTGTATGGCCACCTTAAGGGTGACATGTAAATCGTGAACAAATATCCCAAACGGTAGTAAACTTTTTTACCTACTTTAAAACTGTCAGCTTGTGTTCTTGTGTTTTAACTTAGTTAACCACTTGAAGACCAGGTGTTTAGACCCCCTTCCTGGCCAGGCCATTTTTCAATATTCAGCGCTGCAGTACTTTGACTGACATGTATTCCGTCATGCAACGCTGTACTGAAATGAATTTTATACCATTTTTGGGGGCAGATAGAGCTTTCTTTTGGTCATATTTAATCATCACTGCGAGTTTTATTTTTTCGTTACATTTAGGTAAAATTACTGAAAATTTTGAAAAAAATAAGTTTTTTTACATTATGTTAGGAAACAATTATTATTACCCAATTATTTTGGTAAAATATAAAAGATGAGGTCACGTCGGGCAAATAGACACCAAACATGTTGGCTAGCTTCGTAAGCACCCGAAGGGGTGCTTACGGGCTATTCAGCCTGGCCGACAGCCTGCTTCTGACAGCTGGGCGGAGCCAGCCGTGATCTTACGGCCGGCTCTGGCCACTTGCAGAGAGATCAGCGTCCCTGGTTACCTGCTAACCAGGGACACTGATCTCCAAACAGCTAACTCTCCCTGGCGCTCCGGGAGTCTCCCGCTCCTGGCCGCCAAGGAGAGAAACACTGCTGTTTCTTTTTTTTTCTTTATTCTGACACGGAGCGATGTCAGAATAGAAAAATAAAATTTCCCATTGGAATTCATTGCTACATTCCTATTGGCTATTTCAATTTGCAATAGCAAATAGTAAACTAGCATTGTACCCGCCCTCTGCTGCAGTTCTCCATCAGGTCCATCAGCAGAGGGCGGGTACAATACTAGTTTACTATTGGCTATTGCAAATTAAAATAGCCAATAGTAATGTAGCAATGTATTTCAATGGCAATTTTTTTTTATTCTTCTCTATTCTGACATCGTTCCGTGTCAGAATAAAGAAAAAGAAAGACACAGCAGTGTTTCTCTCCTGGGCGGGAGAGTTTGTTTTTTTTAGGTTTTTTTTTGACGGCAGCAGAGCCGCCGGACAATAGGAAACTATTGGGCGGAGCTAGCTGTCAATCATTTTCTATTTACTTTTTTAACTCTTTTTCTGTTCTGCTCGGTCCCTCTGAGGGGCCGAGCAGAACAGCTGAGCCGAATGCCGCTCAGCGGCATTCAGCTATTCACTCACTGCTGTTCGG